GAGGCTCCTTCTTTGGAAGCTTTTAAACAGAGGCGTGAATGGCCATCTGTCAGGGGTGATTTGAATGCAATATTCCTGCTTCTTGGCAGGGGGTTGGACTGGATGGCCCATGAGGTCTCTTCCAACTCTTTGATTCTATGATTCTATGATTCTTCAGGGCAAGCATACGGGTGCCTTCCCAAACTATAACTCCCAGGATGAATGGAACAGTTGTGGATGGATCCTTGGGCCTGTTTTGGGTTTTGGACTTCAACTCCCAGAGAAGCCCCAAGAGCCAGGAATTTCAGGAGTCGGAGTCCCATGCTGCCTGGGCTTCACATCCTCCATAGATACATGGATGAATGTGCTTCCCCTTTAAGGAGATGTGGCCTCTGGTTGGGCTCAGGCAGATGGGGCTTCATCATCCTCATCATCATCCTCTGCTTTCATCTCCAGAGTTGAGCCCCAAAGTCTCCTTGCCTTGGAAACCACTTTCCAAAGTGGGCACCTTCCAGTCTTCTCCCTCCCTCCCTCCTTCCCTCTTTCTCGGAAACTACTCTCTAAAGTGGGGACTCTCCATCCTTCTTCTGTCTTTCCTTCTGTCTTTCTTTCCTTCCTTCCTTCTTTCTCTCCTCCCTCCCTCCCTCCCTCCCTCTTTCTTGGAAACTACTCTCCAAAGTGAGCACCCTCCATCCTTCTTCTGTCTTTCCTTCCTTCCTTCCTTCCTCCCCCCTCCCTCTCTCTTTCTTGGAAACCACTCTCCAAAATGGACACCCTCCATCCTTCTTCTATCTTTCCTTCCTTGCTTTCTTGCTTCCTTCTTCCTTTCCTTCTTTCCTTTCTTTCTTCTTTCTTTCCTTCTTTCTTTCTCTCCTTCCTCCCTTCCGCTTTTATGGAAACTACTCTCCAAAGTGGGCATCCTCCATCCTTCTTCTGTCTTTCCTTTTTCCTTCCTTCCTTCCTTCCTTCCTTCCTTCTTTCCTTCCTTCCTTCTCTTCTTTCCTTCCTTTCCTCTTCTCTCCTTTTATCTTTCCTTCTTTCTCTCTCTCCTTCCTCCTTCTCTTCCTTCTCTTCCTTCCTTCCTTCCTTCCTTCCTTCCTTCCTTCCTTCCTTCCTTCCTTCCTTCCTTCTTCTTTCTTGGAAACCACTCTCCAAAGTGCGCACCTTCCAGCCCTCTTCTCACTTTCCTTCCTTTCTGCCTTCTTTCTTTTCATCCTTCTTTCCTTCCTTCCTCTTTCTTGGAAACCACTCTCCAAAGTGGGTACCTTCCAGTCCTTTTCTTTCCTTCCTTCCTTCTTTCCTTCCTTCCTTCCTTCCTTCCTTCCTTCCTTCCTTCCTTCCTTCCTTCCTTCCTTCCTTCCTCTTTTTTTGCTTTTCTTCTTTCCTTCCTCCCTCCCTCTTCATTTTCTTCTATTTTTTCCTTCCTTCTTTCCCTCTTTCTCTCCTTTCTTCTTTCCTTCCTCCCTCCCTCTTTCTTGGAAACCACTTTCCAAAGTGGGCATCTTCCAGCCCTCTTCTTCTTTCCTTCCTTCCTTCCTTCCTTCCTTCCTTCCTTCCTTCCTTCCTTCCTTCCTTCCTTCCTCCCTCCCTCCCTCCCTCCCTCCCTCCCTCTTTCTTGGAAACCACTCTCCAAAGTGGGCACCTTCCAGCCATCTTCCTTCCTTCCCCTCCCTCCCTCCCTCCCTCCCTCCCTCCCTCCCTCTTTCTTGGAAACCACTCTCCAAAGTGGGCACCATCCAGCCATCCTTCCTTCCTTCCTTCCTTCCTTCCTTCCTTCCTTCCTTCCTTCCTTCCTCCTTCCCTCCCTCCCTCCCTCCCTCCCTCCCTCCCTCCTTCCTTCCTTCCTTCCTCTTTCTTTCTCACTTCTGTGAGGCTGGATGGAGGCTCAGCCTAGCTCATCATCATCATGGATACACAACAATATTAGTACACAGCAAACAAGATCACTGTGATGGCTTTTGATTATATTATTATTATTATTATTATTATTATTATTATTATTATTATTATTATTATTATTATTATTATTATTATTATTATTGTCATTATTATTGAAAATGAGACCATACATCTTCCCTTTTTCCGGCTCCAGTTTACAGCAAGCTTGACTTCTGCTGCTCCAGAGACTACAGTGAAACAACAACAATAACAACTGGAAAGGGGACCACACAAATCAAGAGGAAGATGGACCTAGCCTGAAGGCGAAGGAATGCTTTTGGGAGAGAGCCATCCTTAGGGTCGCAAAGGGAGATCCTCCCCAAATCCGGGTCTTACCTGTCCCAGTTGGACCGGGGAAAGGGGGCCTTTCTTTCCTTCTCTTTCTTTCTTTCCTTCTCTTTCTTTCTTTCTCTTTCTTTCTCTCTTCCAGTCCCGATGGCCGGCAGGCGGGACCCTCTCCGGCCGCTCCCTCCCTGGCTTCCCAGAAGCAGGAAGGAGGGAAGGAGGGAAAGAGGGAGGAGAGGAAGGAAGGAGGGATGGAGAGGAGGAGAGAGGGAAGGAGGGAAGGGGGGGGGGGAGGCACTCTGGCTTCTGCAAAGTCCATGCAAAGAGGGCGCAAAGTCCCAGCAGATGACAGTCTCGGAGTTGAGAGGGTCCCCCAAAGGGCATCTAGTCCCACCCCCTTCACTCAAGGCAAGGCTAAAGCAACCCACCCCTTTCCAACGTTCAGCCACATTTCAATATTGGGAAGCGGGTCGGATGGAGCAGGCTTGCTTTAGGCTGCTCCAGAGACTAAAATAATATTATTATTATTAATAATAATAATAATAATAATAATAATAATAATAATGCATGGTCTCCTTTCCCATTATTATTGTTGTTATTATTATTGGAAAGGAGATCATACATATTCCCTTTTTTTGGGCTCCAGCTTCCAGCAGACTTATCTTCTGCAACTCTAGAGACTACAGTTTAATAATAATAATAATAACAATAACACTCTCAACAAAAGATTCCCCCCAGGCGCTTCCAAGCCATTGAATGCTAATCAAGGTGATCAGCTGAAACATTCACAGCTAGCCCCAGCAAACAAAAGTCCTTTGTCTCACCCTGGTCATTCCACAGATATATAAACCCATTTTTCCCAGTTCCAACAGACCTCACTACCTCTGAGGATGCTTGCCATAGATGCAGGCGAAACGTCAGGAGAAAAATTGCCTCCAGAACATGGCCATATAGCCCGGAAAAACCTACAACAACCCATGGATTCTGGCCATGAAAGCCTTTGACAATACATAACAACAACAACAACAACACAATATGAGGACTTAAAGACAGAACTGCAAAGACTCTGGTACAAGCCAATCAAGGTGGTCCCAGTGTTTATTGGCACACTGGGTTCAGTGCCTAAAGACCTTGGCCTGCACTTAAAAACAATTAGCGCTGACCAAATTACCATTTGTCAGCTGCAAAAGGCCACCCTACTCGGATCTGCATGCATTATTTGCCGATACATCACACAGTCCTAGACACTTAGGAAGTGGACTAATCTTGTTGTGTTTCAAATAATAATAATGATGTATGGTCTCCTTTCCTATTATCATTATTGGAAAGGAGATCATACATATTCCCTTTCTTTTGGGCTCCAGCTTCTAGCAGACTTACCTTCTGCAACTCTAGAGACTAGAGTGAAATAATAATAATAATAATAATAATAATAATAATAATAATAATAATAGAATTTAAAGATCGAACTGCAAAGACTCTGGTACAAGCCAGTCAAGGTGGTCCCAGGGGTGATCAGTACACTGGGTGCAGTGCCTAAAGACCTTGGCCTGCACTTAAAAACAATTAGCGCCGACCAAATTACCATCTGTCAGCTGCAAAAGGCCACTCTACTTTGATCTGCATGCATTATTAGCTGATACATCACACAGTTTTAGACACTTGGGAAGTGTCCGACATGTGATCCAATACAACAGCCAGCAGAGTGTCTGCTGTGGATTCATCTTGTGGTGTTTCAAATAATAATACTAATAATAATAATAACAACAACAACACAATATGAGGACTTAAAGACAGAACTGCAAAGACTCTGGTACAAGCCAATCAAGGTGGTTCCAGTGTTTATTGGCACACTGGGTTCAGTGCCTAAAGACCTTGGCCTGCACTTAAAAACAATTAGCGCCGACCAAATTACCATTTGTCAGCTGCAAAAGGCCACCCTACTCGGATCTGCATGCATTATTTGCCGATACATCACACAGTCCTAGACACTTAGGAAGTGGACTCATCTTGTTGTGTTTCAAATAATAATAATGATGTATGGTCTCCTTTCCTATTATCATTATTGGAAAGGAGATCATACATATTCCCTTTTTTTGGGCTCTAGGTCACAGCAGGCTTGCCTTCTGTAGCTCTAGAGACTAGAGTGAAATAATAATAATAATAATAATAATAATAATAATAATAATAATAATGTTGCTGTCGTGTCAGGAGTGACCTGAGAAACTGCAAGTCGCTTCTGGTGTGAGAGAATTGGCCGTCTGCAAGGACGTTGCCCAGGGGACACCCAGATGATTTGATGTTTTATCATCCTTGTGGGAGGCTTCTCTCATGTCCCCGCATGAGGAGTTGGAGCTGATAGAGGGAGCTCATCTGCCTCTCCCCGGATTCAAACCTGTGACCTGTTGGTCTTCAGTCCTGCTGGCACAGGGGTTTAACCCACTGCGCCACCGTGGGCTCAATAATAATAATAATAATAATAATAATAATAATAATAATAAAAATACTACTATTATTATTACACAATATGAGGATTTAAAGACAGAATTGCAAAGACCCTGGTACAAGCCAGTCCAGGTGGTCCCAGTGGTGATTGGCACACTGGGTACAGTGCTTAAAGACCTTGGCCTGCACTTAAAAACAATTGGCGCTGGCCAAATTACCATCTGTCAGCTGCAAAAGGCCACTTCTACTTTGATCTGCACACATTATTCGCCAATACATCACACAGCCCTAGACACTTAGAAACTGTCCGACGTGTGATCCAATATAACAGCCAGCCGAGTGTCTGCTATGGACTCATCTTGTTGTGTTTCAAATAATAATAATGATGTATAGTTTCCGTTCCTATTATCGTTATCGGAAAGGAGATCATACATATTCCCTTTTTTGGGCTCTAGGTCACAGCAGGCTTGCCTTCTGTAGCTCTAGAGACTAGAGTGAAATAATAATAATAATAATAATAATAATAATAATAATAATAATACTATTATTATTATTACATGATTTGAGGATTTAAAGATCGAACTCCAAAGACTCTGGCACAAGCCAGTAAAAGTGGTCCCAGTGGTGACTGGCACACTGGGTGCAGTACCTAAACACCTTGGCCTGCACTTAAAAACAATCAGTGCTGAAAAAAATACCATCTGTCAGCTGCAAAAGGCCACCCTACTCAGATCTGCACACATTATTCGCCAATACATCACACAGCCCTAGACACTTGGGAAGTGTCCGACGTGTAATCCAATACAAAAGCCAGCAGAGTGATCTTGTTTGCTGTGTACTCATCTTGTGTTTATAATAATAATAATAATAATAATAATAATAATAATAATAATAATAATAGGGATTAGACCATACACATTCCCTTTTTGGGCTCCAGCTCACAGCAGGCTTGCCTTCAGCAACTCTAGAGGCTAGAATTAAATACTACTACTACTACTACTAATAATAATAATAATTGGAAAGAGACCATACATACTCCCGTTTTTGGGCTCCAGCTCACAGCAGACTTCCCTTCTGCTACTCCAGAGACTAGGGTGAAATAACAACAAGCCTTCTACTACTCCTGAGACTAGAGTAAAATTATTATTATTATTATTATTATTATTATTATTATTATTATTATTATTATTGGAAAGGAGACCATACATATTCCCTGCCTGATGATTAGAACAGTGGCTTGATGATGGAAGATGCTGCAACCTCAGAGTCCATTGGAATGTCTATCCTTCTCTGGAGGTTTCCAAGCAGAGGCGGATGGCCATATGTCAGGAAGGATCGGATTGTGTCTCCCTGCCTAGCAGAATGGGCTTGGACTGCATGGCCTTTGGACTCCCTCCTAATTCTGGGAATGCAGTGGAATCTCCTTCTCTAGAGATTTTTAAATGGAGGCGGGGTGGCCATATGTCGGGAAGGATCAGATTGTGTCTCCCTGCCTAGCAGGATGGAGCTGGACTGCATGGTCTTTGGACTCTCAATTCTGGGAATGTGGTGTAATCTCTGTCTCTCGAGATTTTTAAATGGAGGCTGGATGGCCCTCTGTCGGGTGGGATCAGATTGTGTCTCCCTGCCTAGCAGAATGGGATTGGACAGCATGGCCTTTGGACTCCCTCCAAACTCTGAGAATGTGGTGGAATCTCCTTCTGTAGAGATTTTTAAATGGAGGCTGGATGGCCCTCTCTCGAGAGGCATCGGATTGTGTCTTTCTGCCTAGCGGAATGGGGTTGGACTGCATGGCCTTTGGACTCCCTTCCAAATCTGGGAATGTGATGGAATCTCCTTCTCTAGAGATTTTTAAATGGAGGCTGGATGACCCTCTGTTGGGAAGGATCGGATTGTGTCTCCCTGCGTAGCAGAATGGGCTTGGACTGCATGGCCTTTGAACTCCCTTCCAAATCTGGGAATGTGGTGTAATTTCCTTCTCTGGAGATTTTTAAATGGAGGCTGGATGGCCCTCTGTTGAGAGGGATCAGATTGTGCCTCCCTGATCGGTAAAAGGAGGTGGGACTGGATGGCCAAGTGCTGTCATAGGAAAAAGAAAGGCCTCTGGGCAAATCCTCCCTGGAAAGGAAAACGGGGGCCTTGTTTGTAGAGGCGTCCCTTGCGGTTGTTTGTCCAGGAGGCCCATCCCCGGCTTCAAAGGAGGCCCAGCACAGAAAGGCCTTTCTATTTCACATCGCGTAATGATATTTCTACCCCTTTCCATGCACACAGAGCAAGCAGGGAAAAAGCGCATAGAGAGGCATTGGGTGCGTTTGGAAGGAAAACATCCCCTTCGTTTTGCACTCCCAGCATCACCCAGCCGGATAAGCAGTCCAAAAACACACATAACTTCTGCTCTACAATCCAGTTAGCAGCACAGATCCACATGCAAGAGTCACTTTTGCGATCTGAGTTTAGTTCGGTCAAAGGGGCATTTTGGGTTTTGTTTTTCTTTGGTCACCAATTAACTTTTCCCGGCTGCCGTTGCCTTGTTTTCTTTTCAGTTTGGTTTTTCTTTTAGAAACTCAATTGGTTTTTAAAATAAATCTATCTTTAGCTTCCATTCGCAGGAAGTACGTCAATGCCATCCGCCTGGGTCTGGATCCAGAGAGGAAGCATACAAGTAAGTATCACAACAACAACACCAGTTTGCTGTGAGTTTTCTGGGCTGTATGGCCATGTTCCAGAAGCATTCTCTCCTGGCGTTTTGCCTGAATCTACATCAGGAAAGAATGCTTCTGGAACATGGTCATACAGCCCTGAAAACTCACAGCAACCCAGTGATTCCGGCCATGAAAGCTTTTGGCAACAACG